GGTGCAGATATAAACTGGAATGGCCCAATGTACTGAGAGTATTGGAAACATATTAAAAATTAATTAGCCTTCCAAACAAGAAGTTTGGCAACTAATATTCATCTCCTATTTGAGATGTACACAACATCAACATGAAAACAATGTGATCAACATTATTGTTTATAAGTTTAGAATACTTACAGTAATTACATTTTTTTTGTGTGTGTGGTTTAGTTCCAGAGCACCTCTACCACAAGTTCAATTTAAATCTGATTTTTGAGATATCAGAAATTGGCTTATAATATATAGAAAATAAATAAGCATATTTTTCAGTATTAAAATAATTACATCTGTGGATTACCCCGGAGCATCTATGAACCAAATATCAATGAAATGTGATCATTATGCATATTGTGCAAATTCGGTAATTAGTATGCTTGAATTTCAATCCAAAACTAATTGTTTCCAGACACTTATATACCAAGTTTTACTGAAATGCAATAATTGGTTTTTAAAAGAAGATGGGTAATTGTTACACAAATTAAACAATTATTATGCATAGATTTCAACCCCAAATTAGGTCTGTGTATTTTTCCAGGGCACATATGTACCAAGTTATTATAATGTGATGATTAATTCTTAAAAAATGAATGGAAAGCCAAAAGGTAAATTATGTGATTAGAACTTGAGATACCGATGGAAAAGCCGAAAAATTATAAATTATTATGCAAATTAGGTAATTAATATGCACAGATTTAAACGCAAACTAAACAGGTCTGTGCATTGTCCTAGAGCATCTATGTATCAAGTTTCATTGAAATGTAATGACTAGTACCTGAAATACATGTATTAGTGGAAAAGCCAAAAATTTACTAATTATGCAAATTAGATAATTAATATGCACAGATATTAACCCTAACTTATGAGGTCTGTGCCAAGTTTCATTGTAATTTGGTGATTAATACTTGAGATATCAGTGGGAATTGACAAATAAATTATACAAATTAGGTAAATAATATGCATGGATTTTTACACTAAACTGATCAGGGTTGAGCATTGTCCCAGAACATCTATGTAACAAGTTTCATCAAAATCCAATGTGTGATATCAGTGGAACAGTCTGTCATGAACAGCTACAAATTAGTTAATTATCATGCAAATTAGGTAATTAATATGCATGGATTTTTACACTAAACTGATCAGGGTTGAGCATTGTCCCAGAACATCTATGTAACAAGTTTCATCAAAATCCAATGTGTGATATCTGTGGAACAGTCTGTCATGAACAGCTACAAATTAGTTAATTATCATGCAAATTAGGTAATTAATATGCATGAATTTAAACAAAAACCTAATCAAATCTGTGCATTAACCCACCAAAAACCAACATATAGTTCTTGAGATATCAGTGGAACAGGCGGATACACACATACAGACACACACACACTAACTGCAAAGACTCTCGTTGTGTGCTTCTCACACTGGAGCAAGTAACATTTTATAAAGTGCTTTGGCAAATTTCTAAATTAAATAATAATACACATCATCATAACAGCAATTGAAAGTGCTGAAAATGAAATCAAAATATTCTGACTTCATAGAAAAACAATTATATATACTCACAAATTTCAAAAGGCAGATATTTTCTCTTAAGGCACCGACACAACCGGAGAGCGCCAATACAAATATTACCACTCCAATAACAATGACTAATAGTGGATAATTTGCAAACAAAAATACAATAATTGCATCTGCTTCAGCATCTCTCAGTTGGGCAAAATTGAGACCACCCTGTCAAATACAAGATCAATCTGCTTAATATGGCATATTCCAGTTAAAATCTAGAATATGTTAAATATCAAAATATGATGATTTTCATTACAAGTACAACCCTTATGAAAATGAAAGCCGTGCGGCATAGTTAAAACATTGATGCAGCATGGTTATAGCAGTGATACTGTAAAGAAAATCAGTGCAGGAATATAATTATAAATCATTACAGCTTGGTGCAGCTGGTATCACACAGATGAATTCTGTGTGGCATAGACACAACTATCTTAACCATATAACCAAAGGCAGGGGAACTTCTCATGCACTGGTCATTTTTGTGCAACTTAGACACAGCTACCATTATTTGACAATCAAAAGCAAAAATGCCTTTTATAATTTTAAATATTTCTGTATAGCATAGATGCAGCTACCACTACTGCATGCCCAAATTTATTTGTATATAGCATTGCATGTGGAAGTTTTCAGTATATCTTCACTATCACAATGAAATAAGCACTTCACCTAGGTAGTGATAGATAGTAATGTTGTGAAGTGAACCAGTGGTTTGGTGGTAGCTTTGAAAACTTGATTGTAACAATCTGTGTGGGAAGTAGCCGCATACATGCTGTAAGTTTTGAAAACTGAACTCTGAAATGTGTGCGGGAAGTAGCCGTATCCATGCTACAGTGCTAATTTGTATGCAAAAAAATGTCCATGCAGCAAGAACTGTGCAGCATGACTGCAATATAGAGGCTGCAACACTGTGTGGTAAGGCTGCAAGTTTTATAAGGAAAGTATCGTACTTGCTATATTATAGTAGAGTATGAGTTTATGTAAATTACAAAAGTATTTCTATGGTCAAAATGAGTAATATTTGAATGATTCAGTATGTTTTATATGTGTCACTATTGGAGATTCACTTCTAATAGAAAAATACAGTATTGTCATTATTTTCCTCCAATTTCAATTTTTTTTATTGAGATCCCGTATGGCAAAACTAACATTTCAAAATTCCCTATTCGGGGTATAGGAAGAAAATAGCGTTCGTCACAATTACCGGTATAAGACCCTACTAAAAATAAAACTGACATAATCATAGAAAAGTATGTAAATGAAGACAATCTAAACAGATGATAACGACATTACCAACACCAACTGTGTTACCTTGTGATTTTTAGTGATTTGTTGTGAATTCTAAATAAAGCATTTGATAAATTACAAGTTATAAATATGCTGCCTTTGTTTTTTGTTAAACTAATTTGTTTGTTCGAATTGAATGCTTTGATGTATAATCAATCACATGACAGAATGTTTATTGATGACCTATAAAACAAACATTATTTCATATAATAAAGTTGATGATGTTAGAACAAGTTGATTAATTTGTGAAGCTTAAAAAAAAAATGTTTCTGGTCCTGAGAACAATGAAAACAATTGTGTAGTAAATGCTATTTTTTTATCTGTTTTTCTTTCATTTTTACTATAGTTTGGCAAAAATCAGAAAAAAAAGTCAAGAGTGGCTTTTTTTTAACTGAAGTGCACACTGACCAGAAACATTTTTTTTTTTTGACGTAATATGACTTACTTCATTTGACAATGTGTATGCCCAAACACCAACACCTATGATAACAGTACCAATAATCTATTAAAAAAGTAAACAATAAATAACAGCAAAATATAACGATGTCTCATGTTTATCTTCGCATGATCAGCATGTGTTTAAAGCAGGAGGGTAGTCACCTGTGTACGCGCGGGAATTGAGTCCCAATCAACGATAACAACACACGCTAAAAACGCAAAGGCTCATGGGTAGACGCTTGTTTGTAAACAATGACACGCTATGACGCATGTGCAGGTGTCGACTCCCTCGCTTTAAAAATCATACTGCCAAGAAAGGCTTAGTATTTAAGAGGGAACATCTGTATAAATGAATAATATAATACTTTATTATACATTTGTCACTGTACCACCATAGGTTACAGCATGCCGTAATTTTGAAATATTGCACTGGGTATTTTCATCCTACCATATTAGGAAACATGAATTCCAAATATAGAACGATTATGTGCGTAAGTATCCTTTAATAATAAAAATAAATATGGCAAAGTTCACAATTTACAAAACTCCAACTGCCAACAGGATTTGTGAATTATTTTATAAAGAAGAAACAGAAGATGAATTCTGAATATCTTGGGTTCTATTATTTATTTATTAGAAGTAATGCAAAGAAAATGGCTATAATAATAATAATAGTTTGTACTGTTTTTGTTTAATATTTGTTATTCAAATGGCAATGGGATTATTTCTTTTTATAACTTTACAATACAATACAGATAAAGTAAGTATAGGCTTATTGTCTTTTGAAAATGGCTGGCTGGAATTGAAAATATTTGCTGAAAGCACTGAGGCAATTTATCAGAGTGATTTTCAATAATTTGGCACATGTAAAATTAAAAAAAAACATTTGAGGTGAATTTATTTTAGCTTCTCTGGATGAAATTTCTTGTGTTCTCGCTTTAAACAGAAAGTTTTGGAAGTAAAATAATTCAACATTAATATTAGTTAAATCTTACAGTTTTTGTTTAAATATTCAAAGGTTATGTGAATCTGTGAATAAAATCTGATGTAAATGTAGATTTGATGGTAAATTTTTCTGAATTATGTAATTCATGGAAATTAGAAGTTTAACTTTGTCAACTTCTCAAGAATTAGAGAGTTATTGCAGAGATACACAAACACATACATGTACTTTCATGTCGTACCATCGTATCGGGATTGTAAATCAAAAAGTGAGGTCAAATTGCAAATCGAACAGCAAGGTGTAAATTCAAAAACAAACTAGGATTACAAATCAAAAGACATATAGAAATTCAGTTATGAATAAATTTTAAACTATAAAATGGAATTTTAATTCTAAATGGATAAAAAAAATGAAAACGTCAATTTATTTTCAAAGAAAAGTGAAATTTCAAAATTGAAATCAATTAAAATATGGATAATGTGACAATAATGAAAACAGGAAGTCATGGCTCTCCTCAGTTGCCATAGTAATACCTAATAGTTACGGTATATCAATACAATTGTGTACCGGTAATTCATATGATGTAACCATCATGTGATTATGATTTACATTGTATGAGTAACTATAACTAGTACGATTTCTATTCACTTGTTTGCGTCACAAAATTCGGATTTCCAATTTATAATTATGACATAAACAAAACAGTTGAATCAAAAAACTAAAATCATATTTGTGTATTTATTCTAGTACGTGCACAGGTAATTTGACCAAGTCATTTAAGATGCGAAAATCGAAATAATTTGATAATTTTTGTTTCTTCTAAACTACACTATGAACAGAGTTTATTAAATAATACTGATCCAACGTATTTGTATTTGCAACCAAAGTGACTGTGATTGTGTGACTCAGCACTATATGATACTTGATGTAAAAATAATGTATTACTGTGAAGTCTGAATGGAATAAGTCAACATCATACAACGCAAGGTCGCTAACATACATGATGTGCGTCCAGCAGAAAGTGGTGATCAAAGACTGAAACTCCCCTGCCAAACTATTTCAAATAGCACTTACCCAAAATATCACATTGAAGACGAAAAAGGTGTACTTCAAGCAGAATACTCCTAAATCAACCATGGCTGAGATTTGTGTATAGTGTATCCACGGTCATACATATATCGATCGACCGATCGGAGGGGTTTTGTTAGGAATGGTGGTGCAGGGACGGTGGGTGGTAAACGCGGAAGTTGAATTAGCATCATAACAAAGAGTGCCGACAGGCGACGTCACTCTTCAAGTCCAGGTGTTTTCAATGAGAGTGAATAATAATGAGGTCATCGACATTATGTACACCGATAACCGGACAGACCATTACCTCATTTTTACAAGAAATTGAACAAAGGGACGACATTACTTTTACTTTCAATGCGTTGTTACAAATGCAACATGAGCCAAGGGCGGTATATGAATGAATGAACTTTATTGTTCCCGTGTAAAAAAAGAGTAAGTTACATAGGGTGTTTGCAACAATAAAGAGTTTTTGTTAACAAGACAATATTTTGAAAATAACTTGAATGAATGTACTTAAAATTCACAAATAAATAAATATGTATAAAAATAAATACACAAATAAATTATTAAAGAAATCTAATCTCTAATTTTGGTCGCAGCTAAAATAAAGTTTGATATCTCTTGTTGAACTAATTTATCTTGATGTGAAAGTAAATATTGAAACAAGAAATGTTATTGTCAGCCGGGACTTTAATTTTATGTAACAGTTGAGATCTCTGCTGTTCATATTTTTGACAATCTAAAAGGAAATGGATCTCATCTCATATGTAGATATATATATGTAGGTATATGTAGATCGGTACAATACTGACAAATAAGTAATGCGTATGTTGTTTTCTTGGCTAAAATAAGTTATTAGTAACATTGCAGACAGAAATGAAAAGCAGTACTATTTACAGTGCTGCGGTGACATATTTTATTCTCGAATTCGTATTGGTTTTGTGCATTGATCGGACTTTTAGAACCATCGTCCAAACGTTCAGCTTAAGAAATGCGTGAATGGGAATTGCAATATAATTCGGTGGAAATGATCTGAATAAATCCCAGAAAATGAAGCAAAATAATAACCAGGGTTTACTGGGTAAGTTCAAAATTGGTGGAGATTACCTGACATATGCATTACTTCTAGTAAATAACCTGAATCAAGGAATACAATTGCCATATCAAACGGCATGGAAAAACGATTCAATAGCATTTTAAATAACAGGCTGGTAACTTAATAAAAACATTCTTACAAAACAGTTTGGCTTCAGAAAAACAGATAACAACGAACAAACACGAAATTCGAATAAAGTTTACAATAATAATAATAATAATAATAATAATAATAATAATAATAATAATAATAATAATAATAATAATAACTTTATTACACTACTAGAAACCTTCAGAGGGTTTTTGTATGGCAAGGAACATAAATACAAAGCATTTTCCTGAGGATGAAATTTGAAATGTTTTGCAAATAATTTTCCATATTATAACTTACTTTGAATAGTTTGTATGTTCTCAGTTTTGTTCCCCTATTTTCATTGGTTTCACTGAAATTTAGTTCTTCTCTCCATCTTTGAATATAAATCTCAGATAGTCTGAGTTTTACTTTTTTTAGTATTTGATCCCAATTCTCCATATTGTGATCATTTTTTATTTTAATCAGATCATGTCTCAGTGTAGCATTAATATTCCTTACCCAGTTTGAATTAATTTTTATCATTTCATCCAGGGCTAATTTTAAAATGTGATTATCTG